TTTTTTTTTAGAGAGAAAGATTTTTGCGCTAGGGCACCTGCACTTGCTGGAGAGATAGACAAAAAGTGAGAAATCAGCCCCCAGAGGGGATGGCCACAGCACAATCCCTTCTCTTGGGATTTTGGATGCACACACATGTGCCCAGTATGAGTTTTAAGCCTCCAGGTCTGGGACTCAAGCTGTGGTTGACTACATGGGAGTCCAGCTACATAACCATTACACCATCTGCTGGGCCCATGATTTGGAGTTTTCTATCTAAACTAATTGAAAAAAAAAATGGGGAAAGAGGAAGGAGAGTACTGAGCTATGAGGAGGAGACAGATATTCAAGGGTAAGGAAGCTTGGGACTGGTTCCATTAAGCATAGGCCAACGGAAACTGAGAACAGGGAGAAAATATAATGAGGGAGGAGAAAATATAATTATGAAGAACATGGGGTGGTTCACAAGAAAAAAGAGCTAGTTTAGGATAAAATGTTGAAGAGCACCAAAGGTTTAAAATGAAAGCAGTAAGAGGAGCCTAGAGTGAAATCTACTGACAACGGGGCAAAGTTAATTTTAGATTAATGGGCTAGAGCAGAAACTAAGGCAAGCATAGGATATCACTCCGTAAAACAGCTTGTCAGAAAGGTCGCATTTCATTGTTTCATTTTTCCAATTGTTTCTCTGAACACAATTGATCCTTGACAGTTTAGGATAAAAACATTTCTGAAGTGCGTTTTAGAAATAATGTTTCCTATAAACAATAAACTAATCAAAGTGATTATCTAAGGGGCTAGAGGAAACATAATTTTCAGTGTTGTACTTTATTTTAAACTGTATGGGTGTTTCTCCTATTAAAAATAATTTTTAGGGGCCGGCAGGTGGGGTAGTGGATAAAGGCACTGGACCCGACATGACTGACCCTAGTTCGAGTCCCAGATCTGATGGTTTGCTTTCTCACTTTTCCTCTCTCTCTTTCTCTGTCTCTCTCTGATCAAACTGGAAAATAATAGTGATAATAAAGTTAAATAAAAATAATTTTTAAAGAATTTTTTTAAATGATGTGTCCTAGCTTGTGTCAGAAGGAAAAATTCCTTTATGTGAAAAATAAGGCTTTAAATAAAAGCTGTTTTTCATCTTTACAATTCTTTTCTTTTTTTAAATGATTGTTAATTTTATAGTATTTTTTTAAAGAATTATTTTTATTGAATTTTATTTATTTAAATTTGACCAGAGAAGGACAGAGTGTGTGTGAGAGAGAGAGAATGAAAGAAAGTAAGCAAAGGGACCAGCAGTTAGCGTAATGGCTATGTCGCTGGACTCCCACGTAGTCGACTGCGGTTCGCGTCCCAGACCCGGTGGCTTAAAAAACTCAAGCCGGGCGCGTGTGCGTGCGTGCCCAAGATCCCAAGAGGAGAATGGAGGAGAAGGGATTGCGGCGTGGCCATCCCCCCTGGGGGGTGATTTCTCGCTTTCTATCTCTCTGTCTCTGTCTGTCTGGCGAGCGCATGCGCCCTATAGGAAAAACCTCTCCAAAAAAAAAAAAAAAAAGAAGAAAGTAAGCAAGAAACCAAACTGCCAGGTCCAGGGCTCGAATCGTGGTTGGCTACATGGAAGTCCAGCACCTTTAACCACCATGCCACCTGCTGGCCCCTTTAAAATTATTTCCTTCCTAAAACAGAGTACAAATTGATTAACAGCCATTAGCTATTTTTGGATATATGAATATAAAGGAAGACCTACCCAAAGATAAAAAGAATAGGTCAAGTCTCACATTTCTTTTTTTTTTAAAGAATTATTTTTTAACTTTATTTATTCATTCCTTTTTTTTTTTTTTTTTTTTTGGGGTTTTTTTTTATGGGACATGTGACCCCGACAGAGTCAGTGAGACAGAAAGTGAGAAATCACCCCCCAGGGTGGATGGCCACACTGCAATCCCTTTTCCAGTCTCCTCTTGGGATCTTGGGCACGCACGCACACGCACCCGGCATGAGTTTTAAGCCACCGGGTTCAGGACTCAAACCACAGTTGACATGGGAGTTCAGCAACATAGCCATTATGCCAACTGCTGGCCTCTATTCATTCATTTATTTTACTTTGACCAGAAAGAGACACAGAGAGAGAGGGAAAGTGAGAAAGCAAGCCACCAGCCCCCGGACTCCATCCATGGCCAGCCATGTGGGAGTGTCTAGCGCCTTAACCACATGCCACCTGCTGGCCCCTAAGACCCACATTTGTAATTCCACGTTTGTCTAAAACAATTTTGTGGAGTCATTCAGGTTTTCATACATTTGAAAAGTTTTCTGTTTCTGTTTATTTGTTTGTTTGTTTCTCACAGTGATTTTCTTTAAACCTCTGGGGATATTATTTTCCTTGATGTTGAATATGATTATGACCTAGTTTTTGCAGATAAATATAAAATCTTCATAAGACTACTTAAGTGTTATTTTCTGCTAGATATATGGCTACATTAATTGAAATATCTACTTCTACTATAACTAATATCGGTTAAATACTTCAAAGAAATATAAATAAACACAATAAAAGAATTTCTAAACACTTATTGGTTTACTTTCTGCTTTGCATCAATTTTTATTGAAATTTTATCTACATATATTATGGCTATCCATACATTCACATGTACTACATTTTGCTGCTTGTTACCTACTTTTTTTAAAAAGTGAGTTTTTTAAAAATAAATTATTATTATCTTTTAATTTGACCAGAAAGAGAGGGAAAGTGAGAAAGCAAGCCTCCACATCCAGGACTTGAACCATAGTTGGCCATGTAGAAGTCCAGAGTCTTAACCACCACGCCACCTGCCAACACTTGTTACACACTTTTTATTGATACAGCTTTTCTTTTTTTTTAAAGAATTATTTTTATTTAACTTTATTTATTATTGTTGTCATTATTATTTTCCAGTTTGATCCGAGAGAGAGAGAGGAAGGGAGGAAGCAAGCCACCAGGTCTGAGACTTGAACCATGGTCGGCCATGTGGGAGTCCAGCGCCCCCAACCACCATGCCATTTGCCAGCCCCTGATATAGCTTTTCTATCTATATGTCTGGTTAAAAATTAACTTTAAATTACCTTTCATCATGGGATGTTTTGGGTTGATAGTATTTACTAAAACAGAGTAGATAATATTCATTTGCATAATACTACATGTATGACAACAACTTTATTAGTAAATTTACTCTGTTTTGATGCTTGCTACATACCAATTATCCTTAATACCTACATATTCTTTTTTGTTTGGCGATGTTATACGATTTTTATGATTTTTGTCTTTCTCTCTCTCCAGAGCTTACTATAGCTTCCTCTATGTAAATCATATGTAATATTTCACTTTTATTCATGCATAAATTATCACCATTATTATTATTAAAACCACATTATGGATGAGTAAATTGAAGCTCAGACAGTTTAAATAACTTTTTACTTTCAAAAGGCATTTCTTGATAACAAACTAAGTTTCAGGTAGTCATTTTGGCTTAGGATCAGAAACCAGGTTTAAAGAATGCAAAGAATGACTAAATTTGCCACTTAACTCAGTTTATGTGAACTCTAGGAAACAGCATGTGACCTGAATAAGTAAAATTAAATACTAAAGATTACAATGATAATAGCTGCACTATTTTGTCATGGACAAAAACAAAAAACAAAAACCAAGAACTGTATTAAAACATTCTATTCCTTCCAGTTTCTGTCTTTACTCAGAGCAGAGTCCTGGCAAGGGAGTCAGATTTTACAATGACACTAACATAATGAGAGAATTTGAATAAGATGACCTGACCTCTCTGAACCTCCATTTCCTCACTCATAAAATGAGAATGTTAGAATGAAAGTTCTCTAAGGACCTCCTCATTCTAAAATGCTTCACTTTTAGGGAATATTGTGAGTCAATACTAGTACAGGCTCAAGAGAAAGGCAGGGAGGGAGAAGGTTGCTTCTAGTCTAGGGAGGAAAGGACGAACCAGACTACTGGGTCTTCTGCACGAACACGTCCAAGTTGGGAGCATGGGCAGCTCATCAGAAGAACACCAACCTGCCCCAGCCCTTACAGTCATCATAAGCTTTGATTTGAGTATCTCAGTGACTATTGGTTTTATAGGCTTTCTGATAGTAACAACCGTAAGATACAGCTGTCCCTCAGATGAAGTGGGAATGTGTCAGTCTAGCCAATTTTTTCATCACCTCTTGTTTCTTACAGAAAATTTCCAAAATTCATCTCTACTTGGAACTGCAAGTTCTTTGCAGCTCTCTGTTCCTGTGGTGAGCAATGCAGCTTCTCTAACAGGAAGTGTCTGCAACTTCTCCAGAGTCTCAGCTCCAGCCGTCAGCTCAGCGTGGCTACTGCCATCAACCTCTGGCACCTCTTTCCAGCCCCTTGTGGGTAGTGCCTACCTTTACCAACATTCTAGCACAACTATGTTGTCTGGGGTTTCTGGCCAGAGCCAGATCTCCACTTCAGCTACCTCCTATCCAGGTATTTTTGAGTGGGATATCACAGGAGGTACTGAAAAGAAGTCGTCTTCACTTAGTGACTTCACCGTGACAGTCATTGACCAGGGCACAACTGTTTCTTCGATGTCTACCACAGCCCAATATAATAAAACCTCAGATGCCAATATTATGGTCCCTCTGTATCCATCATTGTCTGCCAGCCTGGTTCAGGGGACACCATCTCAGATTCCAAATCAGGAATATAACTTGTCACTTCCTTACCAGGAAGGAAGCCAGGTCTATTACTACAATCAAGGCAACCTGGGACCTCTACTGTCTGGAGAACTTGGCCCCTGCCTGCAATCCTATGGCTCTGTGTCCTACACAGGAAGTAGGGCCTCAGCTCCTCAACCAGAAATGGTGATGGTGCTAAAAGAGGTTCAGCCCACGAGTGTATTACCACCAGTATCCACCTCTGGAATCTACTACTCTGTGTCTGCTCAACCCATCACAGAAACAAGTTTTCAAGGTGAGTACAAATGGCAAGAAGGAAGAGGAATATGGTCAGCGTTCAAGGGGAGGGGCTCATCCTTAGCTGAGAAGTGGTGAGTCTATACATATGGAGAATTGAAGTCCTGAGACTTCATCCACTCCTTGCTCAGCGCTTTCCATTTTCAGACTCTGTATGAGAACACATAATGTGGGTGGGGAGGTGAGACATTATACTGGCCATTATTACTACATGTCAGAAGTCCCCAAGCATGTCCCAAGAGATACCACACTGTTGGCTGCCCTAGCTGATCAGTCCCTCTGCACCACTGCACTGAAATCAACTCCCTTTTCTGATCTATTGCTTTATTCTCTTTGGAAGACACTTTGAAACTCTTACCGTGTAGCAATGGCTTAATTTTCCTTGATTTACACTAAGTTTAAGACCTTGTGTTCAGAATCTGTCCTTGCCTGCATATTCATGAAGAAGAGCTACATTCTCTCTCTCTCTCTCCAAGTCCAGGGCATGAAATGTTCTGATTCTCTCAGGAGAGTGGGGAGAGTTGAAAGGACTCTATACAAGAATATGAGGCTTTATAGAACATTTCATATTTTAAGATTCATTTTTACATTTTACTTGACTTAAAAATCCAATGAAATGCAACGAAAGCCAAAAATGATGACGTCAAGTGATCACGAGTAAGAACTAAAGCAGTCACGTCCTATCTCCTTGCACAGGGTCCTGTCTATGATCCTTAAGAAGGACTAATAGAAGTGCCTTATCCACTGTCAGAAGGTGCCTGCCTGCTGTGTTAGTGTAGAGGGAGTATCTCACTTACCAGGGATTGATTTTCTTCCTTGATTCCTTTTTAGTGATGGAAACTTCCCTGGGGATGGAGACCTCCTTGGGATTGCAACCTCCAGCTCAGACATTTTGTCTGCCACAAACTCAAGAATTCCCCAAGTCCTGTAGTAGCAGAAATATCCAGATAATTGAGAGTCACTCACCACCTGGGCTTGAGGACATTTCAATGGTAAGTCCAGTCCAGAGTTCTACTAATCTGTTGGCACTGCCTCCAGCTCCAAGCCAGGAGCAAACAGAGAATAAGAATTTGGATGAGATTGAAACCAAGCTTTTAAACTCTCAGGATGCCTACCAGATCCCAATAGAAAACCAAGATCTTCCACTGCTCCCTTTGGAGATCCCTGATATTCACCAACTTCTGGCCTCCATCGATCCTCTTGGCCAAGAGGAGAAGCCTAGTTCTGAAAATGCCAGTCTGGGAAAAACTAGTGTGAGTCTGGAGGACCAAGAGACACTTGAAAATGAGATTAAGTCCTTTAATGGTTTTGCAGACATAGCTACACTGGTGGAAGACATTCACCTTCCTCCACTCTTTGATTCCTTGCAAGACCTTGACCCATCAAAAGATCTCCTGGCAATTGAAGATGAAGGTACCAGAGTCATCAAGGTAGATCAGGTGCTGGAAAATCCAAGTGTCAAAAATGGTCTTTATGATCAAGTTAGGAAGAATAAGCATAAGGCCTCTGAGCCTCTCAATGGTGCACCCAACGCCAAAATCCAGCCAAAGAATTCCGAGTGCCCGATAGGGGGAGAAGTGGTAGTTTTCAGTGCTACGGCCAGTGATGAGGCCCTTGTGAATGAAGCCAAGCAGTCTAACAGCAAACGTCAGAAACCTGGCTCTAGCAGGACCAGCAAAACTAAGAGCCATGGGCAGGAGAAGATCAAAAAGACCAGAGAAAAAAACTCTAAGAAAACTGAAGAGAGTAAGCAGTCAGGGATCAAAGTCAAGGCAGAGGAGAAGCCAACTGTTTCCAAGCTGAAGCGGAAGAAAAATCAACCTGAGCTGAGCCAAGAGACCTTTAAGAAGCCTCGAAGCTGCCTAGGCATGCACATGCTGGAGTCCGTGCAGGTTTTTCATGCACTGGGGAAGAAGAATGATAAGAAAATGGGACTCTCTTCCTCCCGAATCCTAGGAAACTCAAACACCACCAAAGTCCTCCAGCCAGCCCCACCTATCAAACTATGGCTGGATACTCCATGTGAAGGCAAAGGTCCTGAGAAAACTCAAGTTAAAGCCCAGAAACTAGAGGGCAGTGCTGACCAAGAGTGTCCATCTCCTTCCCAGTATGAGCTGCCACCACCTGGGAAGGTCAAGTTGATCCCTTTGCCTTTTCCGACTCTGGACAAGCCTCAAGTTCGACCCATTCCACGGAGGCCGCTGAGTCTGGTTTCACATAGACCTGCTGTATCTTACCCTGCCCGGCCTGGTTCCACCAACTCAGCTCAACCTATTGCAGTCAATCCAGCTCGACCAGCTCCTGCCAATGCATCTTCAACGGGTCCTCCGAGACCAGCTCAGCCGATTATAACCAGTGCGACCCGACCGGGTTTGGCCAACCCTACGCGGCCGAGTGTCCCCCAGTCTGCTGCTCCTAGGCCGACACCCTACAAAACGTCATCTTGTACTTCTCTCCAGCGGGAGCCTATTTCTGCAGCTGTGATCAAGCCCCAGTCACCGCCCAAGCCTCAAAACCGTTTTCTACTCCAAGATTTCAGCCTCCAACCAATTCCGTGGAGGAAACCCAATGTTCCTGAGCCAGTGATGTCAAAGCCCATCACAGATGAGCAGAGGCCTGAGCGCGAGGCCATGAAGAGGAAAGCCCAACAAGAACGCGAGAATGCTGCCAAATATACTTCTCTGGGGAGAATGCAGTTTTTCATTGAAAGGGAAAAAGAGCTGGGAATCTCCCGATACTACGGCTATGCAATGTGAGAGCTACCGAGATGGTTGGTAGCACTTCAGCTATCAACTGGTTTTCCACATTTATATAGATAGATAGATACACATTTCTCTATTTATTCTGATATATTTTTAAAACTTAATAAATCTGAGTAAAAAAGTAATAGAATTGATTAATAGTAATAAAGAGGCCTTTTTAGTTTTGAGATGCTGTTCCCTGGTTTTTCTGTGGTGGCAATGGGGATCAGAGGTTGCATTAGAAATAAGGAACTGAAAGTTGGATGGGAGAGTGGAGGGAAGTGGTAGGAACGGAGGAAAAAGGTACAGGACTAGGGAGGGCAAAGTGGAACATTTTTATAGGCTTATAAAGAGAATCAAGAATGGGGAAAATGGCTCAGAGTCTGAGATTAGGGTTCAAAGAATAAAATTTGGATAAAGCTGAAGATGGCAAGAGATGAGCCTGGATTGACCAGGAGAAATGTAAAAAAATGAGGGGCTAACCCTGTGTCTCATGACCTACCAGGCACATACTTTAGAAAATATCGGGGGGCTGGCAGGTGGTGTGGTGGTTAAGGGCACTGGACTCCCACATGGCTGACCATGGTTTGGGTCCTGGACCTGGCAGCTTGCTCTCTCACTTTCTCTCTCTCGCTCTGTCCCTCTGTGGTCAAATGAAAAATAAATGGAGTTAACTAATTCTTTAAAAAATTATATATCTATGATACATATATATGTGTATGTGTATATATATATTTTTTTTTATTTTTATTTTTTTAAGTCTGTTCTGTGCCAGGCCACAACTGGTTGAGTTAGTTATTCCCCACCCCATTTCACAGGAGAGGAGATAGAGAGGGTCAAGAATTTGCCCAAGGTTGAGAGCTAGCAATTTGGGAGCTGGGATTTGAACTCAAGCATTCAGACTTTAGGGGTAATAGAGTCACATGAGAGAACATTAGAAAAATACCAAAGGATGTTCTATGAAAATGTGAAGTGTTATTATTATTTTACATTTAATCATTGTATATCATTGCAGCATACAAAATGAGTTTTCCCACCATGAATATACTGTATCCCAATCCAGGCAGAGGCTAACCTGCTATTTCAAAACTAGTTACAAGACAGTAGGGGAAACGATACTAAAGATAGAAGAAAATTAGGTGGGAGGTGTGTGGAGTTATGGTTTTATGGGTATAGAATTTCTGTTGGGGATGATTAAACAGTTCTGGAGATGGATATTTGCAAGGATTGGACAACATGGCGAATTTACTTAATGCCACTGAATTGACACTTAAAAGTAGTTAAAATGATAAATTTTATGTTATGTATATTTTACGACAATAAAAAAGATGAAAGAGCAACATAAATCAAAATTAGGTAAGAAAACAGGCTCGTGGGTGGAAGGGTATCTGGCCACTTCAAGAAAATGATTAAGCTGGGACCAGCAGTTAGCATAATGGCTATGTCACTGGACTCCCATGTAGTCGACCACAATTCAAGTCCCAGACCTGGTGGCTTAAACTCACACCGGGTGCATGTGCGTGTGTGCCCAAGATCCCGAGAGGAGAATGAAGGAGAAGGGATTGTGGCGTGGCCATCCCCCCTGGGGGGTGATTTCTCGCTTTCTGTCTGTCTGTCTGTCTGGCAAGCGCACACGCCCTATAGCAAAAACCTCTCCAAAAAAAAAAAATAAAAAAGAGGTGGAATAAGCCCACAGGGCAGATGGAGAACATGAAGACAGGCTCTGGTCAGAAATCTGCTTTTCTAAATATGCACAAAACTGAATCTCCAATCTGTCCTCCTCCCTCTGCCAAATATACACACACACACACACACACACACACACACACATATATATATATATATATCCTGGCCCATGCACATTTTTCATCCTGAGATGCTAACTTTCCAGTTTCTCAGGTCAGAAACTTTGAAGTAATTTACCTCATATCTCTCTTTCCCAGCTGCACACCCAGAACATGAGCAAATCTCACTTGCCTTATCTTCGAATTACACCTAGAACCTAGCCACTTATTTTATTTGTTAAAGAATTATTTTTAAAAGTTTATTTATTATTATTATATAGTTTTTAAAATTTGACTAGAAAAAGAGAGAGAGGGAAAGTGAGAAAGCAAGCCACCCGATCTGAGACTCAAATTGTGGTCAGATGTGGGAGTCCAGCGCCTTAACCTCCACGCATTTGTCAGCCCTGAACCTAGCTACTTCTAAGCATTTTAAAAAATCATTTCCATTCCAGTCTGTGTCCCCATCACTTCTACTTTGTGCTCCATCAATAATCTGTGCCTAGATTATTGTCATAGCCTTCTAACCCAGAGGTCCTTCAACTTGTTAGATTCACCAAGCCCTTGGTGTCTCAGTCCTATGCCAAAAGAAACCTGTTGGCTCATGGATTAAGTAGCTGGGTGCCAAAAATGTTCTATTATTGCTTGTAAGTGTATGGATAATGGCTACTGAAAGAGATGAGGTCCTCATCTCTGAAACATGCAATCACCTAGTTTGAAGTAAAGGGATCTTGACAAGGAAGAAGGGTTATCTGTTTATCAGGGTGAGTCCTAAATGCAATTACACGTATCTTTATAAAAGGCAAATGGGGGGCCAGCAGATGGTGTAGTGGTTATGTTGCTAGACTCCCATATGGTGACTGCAGTCAACTCCTGGACCTGATGGCTTCAAAATCACAGCGAGTACATGTGTGTGCGTGTCCAAGATCCCAGAAGAGAATGGACGAGAAGGGATTGTGGCATGGCCATCTCCCCATGGGGTAGTTTCTTACTTTCCCTCTCATTGTCTGTCTCTCTCCAGCAAGTGTACACACCCTGTGGGGAAAAAAAATCTTTAAAAAAAAGGTGGGGGACCAGCATTTAGTGTAATGCCTATGTCGCTGGACCTCCCATGTAGTTGACTGTGGTTCATGTCCCAGACCCAGTGGTTTAAAACTCTCGCTGGGCGCGTGTGCGTGCATGCCCAAGATCTCAGGAGGAGAAGGGATTGTGGCATGGCCATTCCCCCTGGGAGGGGGTGATTTCTCGCTTTCTGTCTCTCTGTCTTTGTCTGGCTGGCAAGGGCACGCGCCTTATAGCAAAAACCTCTCCAAAAAAAGAAAAAAGGTGAGACTAGCAGTTGGCATAATGGCTATGTCGCAGGACTCGCATGTAGTCGATTGCGGTTCAAATCTGGGACCCAGTGGCTTAAACTCACGTCGGCGCATGTGCATGCGTGTTCAAGATCCTGAGAGGAGAATGGAGGAGACGGGATTGTGGCATGGCCATCCCCCCTGGGGGGTAACTTCTCGCTTTCTGTCTCTCGCTTTCTGGTGAGTGCACACACCCTATAGCAAAAACCTCTCCAAAAATAAATAAATAAATTAGTAAATAAATAAATAAATAAATAAATAAAACGAAGGGGAGAAAAAGGCAGATGGAAATTTGATACAAAGAGGGGAAGGCAATGTGTCTCTGGAGGCAGACGTTGGAGTGATACAGCCAGCAACCAAGAGATGCTGGTAGCTACTGAAAGCTGGAAGAGGCAAGGAGCGTGCATCCCGAGGGAGTGTGGCACTGCTGACATCTTGGTTTTTGTCCCAGTGACACTTATTTCAGACTTCTGGCCTCCAAAATGGTGAAAGAATACATTTCTGGTTTTGTTGGTCTACCTTACGGAGAGCATGTGAATATGCATGAGAGGGAGAAGCATCCTTGACATCATGCTGCCGTCCCCTTTCCCAGCCCTCCAGTCCCACAGGACCCCAAGTGCCTGTGTGTGCATGCGCAGTGTGTATTTACGCCACACTAAGGATCCAAACCCATGGTCAAATACGTGACTTCCAGTCCTGCGGGGCTCCTGGTTATTGCTGCACAACAGCATCTGAGGCAAAATTCTGTTTCTTCAATTACTGTTTCCAGTGACTTGTTAGCACAGCCACATGAAACTATTTTTTTTTGCGGGGGGGGGGTAGAGTTTTGCTATAGGGCATATGCGCTCACTGGAGAGACAGAGACAGAAAGCAAGAAGTCACCCTAGGGAGGATGGCCATGCTGCAATCACTTCTCCTCCGTTCTCCTCTTGGGATTTTGGGCACACACACATGCGCCCTCATGAGTTGGAAGCCACCAGGTCCAGGACTCAAACTGTGGTTGGCCAGGTAGGAGTTCGGCGACATAACTTCTATGCCATCTGCTGGTCCCACAGGAAACTATTAATAATACATGGCTCCAGTGACGTAGCTGCTCAAAAAAGAATACACAGAAATGAACAGAAAATAACTCTTAAATAACCACAATTACTTGATAATGGGCTATGTGTGCCTCTTACGCACTGTACAATGTATCGAACCTTAGAATCAAAGTGGACCCTGCCAAACTAGTCATTTTTCTTGGCAGTGGGAGATGCCAGTCTTCAAACAAATGCTAGGTGGTGCTCCAAACCACAGATTCATCTTACCGGTGCTGGTTCTACTGTGGCTTTCTCAAGAGGCAACTTCCTCATCAGGTAATTCCAGTTTCAGCTGAAACGCAACATCATTCCCATGCATTCATAGTGCACAAATTTAAAATATGTCAGTGAATTTGTTACATTCCCTTTATTAGAGTCAACTTATACCACAACTTTCTTTTTTTTAAACCCACATATTTACTTTTCTGTTGTCATGTTATATTCCCAGTGGGTTCACAGCAAAACTTAGAACACTGTAAACCATTGATCCTCAGGACATATTGTGCTTTCAGAGTCCCCCCTTTCCTAGAAGTGTTCACGACAGGCTGTTTTACTGTCTCCATGCAAGGAGTTCACCTGGCATCCACTTGAGACGCTTGCTCATTTTAAAAACATTTTTCCTCCGGATGTCTCCAAGCCCTCATCCATGAAAGCTGTTAAAGAACAGAGACCGAGGTTTTCTTTTTCATTGTCATATACCCACTGTCTGACATAGATCCAAGAGCATAATACTGGGTTGCTGGCAAAGTCATGGAGCATTTTTGCATAGAAAAACACATCATGACTTTCCCAATGACCTAATAGTCAACAAGTATTTGCTCGATTAATGAAAGCATCTAAGGGCCGGCAGGTGGCATAATGGCTATGTCGCTGGACTCCCGGACCCAGCCACGTAAACTCACACCAGCACGTGTGCATGCATGTCCAGAATCCTGAGAAGAGAAGGGAGGAAAAGGAATTGCGGTGTGGCCATTCCCCCTGGGGAGTGATTTCTCACTTTCTGTCTCTGTCTC